GAGTTCCAGTGACCTTTCATGGCCAGAGTCTTTGGAAACGGACTCAAAGACAGAGATTTGCACATGGGAAATTGATATGGAACAAATCCTGGAAGAGGTGCAGACAGCAAAGCAGATTCAGGAAGAGGGACCGTGCGACTGTGCCATGGCCACAGAGACTCCGGCCTGGGGTCCTCAGGGTGGTCCTGTATTAAGTGATGGCCTGCAGTTCTGTCCTTCCCGCTGGCCAGTGGATGGAGGCTGCCCAACCCAGGGATGTGACCTTCCTCGGCAACCACTCCCCCTGGGGGTGGGGCAAGTCAGGTGCAGCCAGGTGCCAGTCACTGGGGACGTGTGTCCCCTCCTCCTCAAGGGCTCACTGGGCAGCCCACCGCGGCCCATCCAGGAGGGCAGGAGGAGAATGGAAGTCCACGCACAATCTCTTAGGCTACAGGGCTCAGCCACGTTGGAAATGTACTCGGAACATGAGAGAGAGGGAAAGGGTGCAAGAGAGAGAGCTTGAAACGATATGAGGGAGAGAAGAGAGGTGAGAAATAAAAGCGAAATTCTCGAGATGAGTAAGAGGGTCAGAGCAATAGTACAGCGGGTCGGGAACTTGCCTTGCACACAGCCAACTCAGATTTGGTCCCCAGTATCCCATATGGTCCCCTGAGCACCACCAGGAGTAACTCTTGAGAACAGAGCCAGGAGTAACCCCTGAGTATCACCAGTGTGGCCCAAAAGGAAAAAAGAAAAGAAAGAAAAGAAAAGAGAGCAAGAGATGAGTGAAAGAGGGGAGAGAGTAATTCCTTTTTTAAAATTGAATTACTGTGCGATACAAGTTACAAAGTTGTTCATGATTGGGTTTCAGTCATACAATGTTCCATCACCCGTCCCTCCACCAGTGGACATTTCCCACCACAACTGTACCCAGTTTCCCTCCCATCCCCCTACAAGCCTGTTTCTCTCTCTTTCTTTCTCTCTCTCTCTCACTCGCTCACTCTCTCCTCTCTCGTGATCTCTCTCTCACTCTTTCCTTCTGGGCATTATGTTTTGAGGGGTTTTTTCCCCGTTTTTATTTTTTATTAATTCACCATGAGATACAGTAACAAAGATTTCATGGTTGAACTTTGACCATACAGTCATCAAACACCCATCCTTTCGCCAGTGCACATTTTCCACCACCAAAATCCCTAGTACTCCCCCACCACCCATTCCTCCCCCTGCCTATGTGGCAGACAATTTGCAAAGTATTCTTTCTCTACTTTAGTTACCTTCAATATTTCAAGACCAGTCCTACCTCCCCTAATATCTGCCGAAAATACAATTGCTAGACAATGTGTTTTGTGTTGCTTGTTATGGATATAATATAAAGTCTGTAGGAATTCTAAGATTTTAATAATTAGGGTCTGAAGAAATCGTTGCCACAGGTTGCTCAGGTCAGAGATTCCTGTGTGTGTCTCTGGATCGTGGCCACGTGGGAGCTGGTGCTTCTTGCTGGCTTCTAGAAAATGGCGACCGCTTGAGCTCTTAGAGGGCAGGTGGTGGGACGGTGCCTGCCCCCGTTTGGAGCAGCCCAGCAGAAAAGGCCCATTGCAAAGTCCCGGCCATCTCTGCTGCAAGTTGCTCAGGTCCGAGATTTCTGTGTGTGTCTTGGGCATTATGTTTTGCAGTTCATACAATTCATACTTCTAGTTACTGAAATGGTATCGTGCATATCCCTTTACCTCCTTTCAGCACTCAGTTTTGCCCAGAGTGATCGTTTCCAGCTATCACCATCACCGTGGTCCGTTCTCTGTCCTAACTGCCTTCCCCCTGCTCCACTTGCCCACTGTGTCAAGTTTCCAACCATGGACCGGTCCTCCTGGCCCTTGGAGGGGAGAGATCACGAGATGAGAGGACTGAGTACGAGATGAGCAAGAGAAGGGAGAGAGGGAGAGTGTGGGAGCAAGAGTGAGATAAGAGAGCTCAGGTGAGTGTAACTGAGTGGAATGAGAGGAGAGAGAGCGAGAGCTGGCAGTCAGCCGACACCCCAGCCCCAGCCTTGCCATCTCACACCTGGTCCAAGCTGCGGGATGGGCATGGTCGGGTTTCTTGGCTTCTTGCCGCCTGGCGCTCTCAGCCAACAGAGCCATCTTCTCAGATGAAAAGCCACCGCAGCTGGCTTGGCACCTCTGTCCCACTGCTGGCCCCCCGCCTGGGCCTTGGGGGTCCAGGCACTCCGGCACACCCTCTCAGGCCCTTCCCTCATGTCCTACCTCTGGCCTTGCTCGCACCCTCTCCTCCTTCCCCTCTTCTGTAGCCTCTTGTGGGGGATAGGGTCCTTCGGGACCTCACGCTCCTCACCCAGCCACTCCCATCTCGATCTCTTTAACAACATCACTCACTGAAATGTGCTTATTTACTTACAGCTCTGCTTTGCCTGTGCCCCCCATCAAACTCTTCTCCAGAAGGGCCCCTGGCACGGGGTTGGTGTTTGTGGAAGGATGTTGGGGATTAGTTCCCCATGGCCAAAGGGCACATGCCTGGTGAGCAGAAGTGTGTGGGAATCACCTGACTTGCATGAGGCCGTCCTCATGACTTGTCTTGTGTGGGTCGTTGTGGCCAAGTCCCTGGTCAGTCAGAGGAGCGGAATTAGCTTCTTCCACCATCAGGTCCCGTGGTGCAAAGTGACTCCTCCAGGATAGAGCCATAGGGGCGCAGGAACCCCTACCCCATGCCGAACGGTTATTTCTTAGCTTTCACCAGTCACAGGACACTCACTTCCCTGGATACCTGTCACCCAGGGGTGCATGCCAGAAATTCAGACTTCCAGTGTGGGAATTGAGGTCTCTAAACTGTGAGGCCCCTGGGCCCCACTGTTTGCCCCTCTTCCAGCTGAGACGTGGCCCGGGGCATCAGACAGTGCAGAATATCTCTCCTAAGGGCCACCAAGCCCCGAAAGGCTGAACATCATGCTCCTGTCAGCAACTACTGCCTACTGCACCTGTCTCGGGCCGGACCCTGGCTGGGTGTGTGACAGAGGTGCCTCCCGGCTTCACCACACTCACCTCTGCATCTCTGCACTAGCCAGAAACAAAGACCCTGTGGGCTGAGGGGCTAGCTCAGAGGGCTCGAGCATTTCCTGGCACACACAGGGCCCTAGGCTTGGTTCCCAGCGTAGCCCCAGTGGCCACCAGCACTGATGACCTTCCCCTGGACCTTTGCAGAAGAGGAAAAGGAATCCAGTTGCTGGGAGGGGCAATGCTAAGTGAGACTAGTTCATGTGAATAGAATGAAGCATGGCATGTATTATTTCAAACTGGCCAGGTTGCTTTGTTATAGAAGGGGGAAAAAAAACCAGGCAAATGAAGGGAGAATTTTTTTTCCTCAGCCCCAGGCCCTCTGTCATTGGAGCCAAGGTGGGAATATTATTCCAGTTACTTGTTTAAATGTAGCTCTAAGAATTCTGCAGATGTCTTTGGGCTGCTCCAAAAGACATCTGCAGAATGGGAGGAGGTGTGAATTATTTTGATGCTCACCCTCATCAGAGACCCCCTTGGGGACGGTATCCGCCTCCTTCCCATCCCTGCAAAGTGGTGCATTTGCACAAATGTGGTCCTTGTAGAAGACGTTTTGTGTATTTCAATCATCCTGAGAAATAAAATCACAGCTCCTGTCTCACCTTCCTTTGAAGTGTTTTCACACTCCAGAGAATTGCTTACCGGCACCCAAAGGTAGAGAAGTTCGTGGGCGTTGGTTCAAGCCGGCACTTCCCTTAAGCCACTCTCTCCCAGATGGAAGGAAAGGTGCGAAAATGGCCGGAGAGGGCCTTTCTGGGTGCTGAGGACAGGCTGAGTGATTCTCTGGATTCGGAAAGCCACAGGGCTCGAGGTGGCTGGTTTCAACCTAGGGATGATCATTTCTGGCACTTTCTCTGCAGAGTTAAGTGGGATCCAAACCAGCGCCTGTACTCTTGCTGGATGATGTCAGTGTAGAGCTGTGAGCATCAGGTGGGACCCCTTTAAGACCGTTCCTTTTCATTTCCTACTCTTGACAACAGAGGCAGGAATCTCTTTCAGAATCGGAAGCAACATGCCATCATGAAAATTGCACTGGCATTAAAATCAAACTTGGATCTGAATCTGGCAGCCTCACTCAGAATGGCCTTATCTGCAGCACAAACCCTCTCTCAGACTCAGCTTCCTGAGCTGGAAAATCAGGAACACCCCCTTTCTCAATCAGAGGTGTGCTGATTTCTTTGTGGGTGGCAGAATTTGGGGTACACCACAAAATTGTCATGGGGAGACCATGCCCGCTCGTCCCTAGCTCATCGTTCATTCCATTCAGCATAAGGAAGTCCAGGATCAAATCTGCCAGCCAAACAGATGTGACAGTTGACTTGTCTTTCACCCCCCAGGGTCTCTAATGAGTGGTGCTCAGCTGCCTGCGTCACTAGTCAGGTCTCACTAGGTCAAAAAGCTTAATTCTCTGCTACTCCAGAGCCCAGTTATAATTGGGACTGACGTCACCACCACTTGGGAAGAACTTTGGGACACATTCTCAGTCCCTAATAAGAAGCAATGACTGCACTCCATTTCCTTGCGGCCCATAAGCCACAGATGTCTGCAACCAAAGCCACGTGCCTACGTAAGGGGTACAGGTGGGCAGAGTCAAACAGGCTCCCAAGAACCAGGAACTTCTCTTCATCCAGCTCCTTGTGAGCTCCCGGATAATGTAGATCACGTGGGTATTTCATAAATACACACAATGGTAATGATGATGGCGCATCTTGGCTTTAATTCACGTGTGCTACTTCCTTTATTGATTTTGTGTTCTGCAAATGATCCAGATAATGTCACCGCCCGTTTAGGAACAGTTACTTGAATTCTGCATGTGCCGTCTCGCTGGAGTCTGTTGACCTTTTCTCTCCACTATGAGTCCTCACATAGTACACAGCTAATGAATTTCGGTGGAAATCAGTCGTGTCTGAGCAAATGTGGCATTTCTCTATTTTTCTTATCTGTTTCTTTCATTTTTAGGGTCAAGTTGTGTTCCGGAATGGAGAGCGAATGGGAACCATTAAATTTACTCAATTTCAAGGTAGGCTTTTTGCTACTTTTTCTTTCTAGTTTGATGAATTCTGTATTCAGGGGATGTTGTGTTTATGCAATAAAATACATCAAAAGAAATGAAAGTATGATGTTCCTGATAAGAGGAAGCAGAGTCAATAGAAAACATTTGTCTGTGAAAACATTCATTTCAATTTATTTAGTTTCTTTTTTCTCAGCGGCATAGCTCTGCAGTCTGAGTCAATCTTCTCACGTGACCAAAAGCTTCCTGAAAGTGTGGAAGAAAGAAGGGGGCGACTAAGTCCCTTCCAATACTCTGAGAAATCCTTGCGTCACTTTTGGTTTTTGTTCTAGAAATTTCCAAACGAATTGTAAACTTGATAAACTAGAATAATGAACCTTGAGTACCCATCATTTGGCTTCAACCAGTATCAAAATTTTGCTAATGTTGCTTTCCTCATCTTATCCCACCCTTCTATTTATTTATATATATTTTTTGCTATCATATTTAAAGCAGCTCCCAGACAGGACCTCATTTCAATCTATAAATATCACAGTATACATTTCTAACAGGTAAGGAGTTTTTGAAAACGTTGAGTTCCACCCTGTTGTCACACCAAAAACATTTGAACTATGTTTCATACTCCATTGATACAGAGCCTCCGATTATTTCAATGTCTCTAAGTTGGTTTGTTGGTGAATCTATCCAAGGACCACTGATTTGATCAGGTGGAAGTGTCTCTTCAGTCTCATTTAATCTGGTTTGCATGTGCGTATGCGCAGACGCGCATACACAAGTCACACACAAGCACACATGCATATACACATGTGTCATTGTTTATATGTTTTTATTTTCACAAAAGTAGTTCACAATAGTTCGTTACAGATAAAATGCAAACACCAGTCCCACCACTGAGCACCTTCCCACCACAATAAAAGGGGAAGGGTGTGAAAGTTGTTGTATTTCATGCTGGAGCCACTTAAGCCCATAAATAAGAGAATATAAGCAAGTATTCAAATGTAAACGTCCGATTCGGGTTGTTAGGCATTCGAATGAATCAATGCTCTTGGCCAAGTTTGTGTTGACAAGGACACCGACACCTCCGACACCTCTTTTATCGCATGTTCCGAGGAACAATTCTTCTCCAGTGTCGAAAACGGCATGGTGAGATTCGTGCCTTCTTGTCTCGGTCAGACCAATGATGTCGTACTTGATCATTCGCGCTTGTACCATCAGGTCCTCGATGGATGTATCTGATGCTAGCCTACGTGCATTGAAAGTACAGACAATCATTTTTGTCTTCCTTCGTTGTGGCAGCCTAGTTCGGCCTTGAGATTTTGTCGGCCTCTCCTTTCTCATCCTTCTCAGTGCTGCCATGTCGGTGAAGCCTTCAGGGTCAGGTGAATGAGACCAGTTGTAGTTACTGGTTTTGGCATATCGAATACACAACGGATAGCTTGCCAGGCTCTTCTGTGCGGGCGGAATACTCTCGGTAGCTTGCCAGTCTTTCCAAGAGGGATAGAGGCTTTTGGGGTGACCTCTAATCACCCTTGTAGGTGTTACCATATTTGAACCCTATCAAATATGGTACGACAATTCTGGAAGATGGGTATTTAGTGTCTTATGATGTGTCCGCCGAGCTGGAGTCCAAGGTCTCAGAGAGTTCCGCTTATCTTGTTCTGTGGGTCTTCAGTCATGTGTGAGTCTCGGCCGGAGCTGCCACGCGGGTCCGGAAAGCGTCCTGGAGTGTGGCGACGGCTGGGTAGTGGAGGTAGTGTCGATAGTGGAAGTCTGCCAGTGGGGTATTTATCTGGGTAGGGTGGGTCTTCTGTGCGCAATCCGATCCCTGGGTGGTTGATGGAAGCAGACAGGGCAGGGTAGGGTGGGGCTCCTGGTTAGAATCCCTTTGTCACCTGTGGTTGGTGGGAGTGAGCAGAGAAACTCTGTCCCTGGGTCCGCCGAGCTGGAGTCCAAGGTCTCAGAGAGTTCCGCTTATCTTGTTCTGTGGGTCTTCAGTCGTGTGTGAGTCTCAGCCAGAGCTGCCACTGAGGGTCCGGAAAGCGTCCTGGAGTGTGGCGACGGCTGTGGTACAAATGCTGGCCGACTTTGACCGTGAGTGTGGAAAGGTACGACTACAGCTGAATCTTACGAAGACAATGTTTATGAGAAACAGCCTCGTTCCTGATGCCCCATTTGCTCTCAACGGAACGACCACCTCCGAATGCAACAGCTATGTGTACGTAGGTCGAGAAGTCAACATGACAAATGACCTGGCACCCGAGCTGCGCAGAAGGAAGAGAGCAGCTTGGAACGCCTTCAAGAACGTCGAAGAAATAGCTAAGAGGACGAAGAACCTCCAGCTCCGGGCACATCTCTTTGATTCCACTGTTCTTCCTGCATTAACATATGCCTCAGAAACCTGGACCCTACGCAAACAGGATGAGAACGCTATTCAGGTCTCCCAAAGAAGAATAGAAAGAGCTATGCTTGGAATATCACGTTTCACTCAAATGAGAGAAAGAATCCGGAGTTCCGAACATCCGTCGACGATCAAGAATCAGGGACGCTGTCTCATTTGCCAAGGTGTCAAAAATCAGATGGGCTGGTCACGTAATGAGATTTAAAGATGACTGCTGGACTAGAGCTGTTACTGACTGGATTCCACGGGATGTCAAAAGACCGCGTGGCCGCCCACCTACCAGATGGTCAGACTTCTTCGTCAAGATCATGAACGATCGGTTTGAGGCCCTTCATGTTCCCGGAGCGAACAGATGCCATTGGGCTACACTAGCACGCGACAGGGACAAATGGAGACGTTACTGGCACCCGCTCGAGCAAATCGACGACTAACGGGAAGTTAAGTGATTAAGTGATAAGCAAGTATGTTAAAACCAAATAAATGTGTGCTACTTTTGATGCGTAAGTGAGATAGTGTGTAAGAGGTCCAGGAAATTCTATGTCATTCTCTTCTGGGAGCTTTAATTTATAGTCTCTGGGTCTTGGCCATTGATGAGATTACATGGTGCCAGGGACAGTTTGTTGGTGTGACTGCCAAGCTACTGGAAAACTGGGGTGATGGGGGAGGGGGCTTGGAGATCTGTCACAGGTTCCTGCATACCTGGATTTTTCTGCCGGTCCCCTCTTGGGTGAGGCTCGTCCGAACATGTGGAGAGTGGCAGCGGTTGGGTTCTAGAGGTTTTTGGCTGCTGGAGTTCTGCTTGGGGCAGGGAGGGAAACTCAACCTGCCCACTTTGAGGTGCCCCAATGAAAACGACCTGGCACAGGGTCAGGACATTCTGCCGTAATTGTTTTTTTTAAGAAGTCAGATTATTGGTGGCCTAGAGCGATAGCACAGCGGGTAGGGCGTTTGCCTTGCACGCAGCCAACATGGCCGACCCAAGTTCGATTCCTCCGCCCCTCTTGGAGAGCCCAGCAAGCTACTGAGAATATCTCACCCATGCAGCAAAGCCTGGCAAGCTACCCGTGGCATATCTGATATGCCAAACACAGTAACAAGTCTCACAATGTTACTGGGCCCACTCGAGCAAATCGATGAACAATGGGAGGACAGTACTACAGTGCTACAGATTATTGGTTGGATTTTTCTGCTCTTAGGGTAGGAAAAGATCTCAGACACCCTCCTGATCAAATGCTTCCTGAGCGGAGGAGGAAATGGAGGCCCAGGAGGTGGGGAGTAGGGGGATGAGGGTTGGTCGAAGCCTAGGAGCATCCGAAGAGAGCAGGGCATGCTGTTGGTCTAGGGGGGCATCTTGGCCTAGCCCAGGACTGTTGTAAGTGGGATGAGGATAGTCAGAACCCCCGGAGAGACCATTCAACACTGTGGTGATTTCTAGAATCTGGATGTTTCTGGAACTTGAGGAAATTTCCACTTACTCTGAAATGTCTACTCACTCTGAGCAGATCCCAGAGTCATACGTAGGAAAGCAGAAATGAAATCACGTTATTCAGATTCATTCAAACAAATCCCAACCGAATTCAGATCAATCAGGAGAGGTGTTCTTCGGGACTATAGCTTCGTAATGCAATCTTGTACATTGACCCATCCATCTTCCTGTGGCAGGTAATTGAAAAGCATGTCAGCTCTCTGGCGTGCACAAAAGATGTAATTTTAGGCAAACGTAATTATTTTCCCATTTGTTAAGTCTCATTCCTTCATTGGTTGAACAAAGTAAGCATCTTGGCAGAGATACTTTTTTTTTTTGAATGATTGCAACTAAATTCTCTTGTCACAATTCCAGGTCTCAAATTATATCATTCTAGGAGAATATTTTGTAAAATATTGATCGGCCAATCGTGGCTGCAGATGCATGCCAATGTTATTGCTGCCTCTCTCTCTCTCTCTCTCTCTCTCTCTCTCTCTCTCTTTCTCTCTCTCTCTCTTTCTGAGAATGAGACACTGACTGCTGTATGGTTTCAGGCATATCTGGGTGTGTAAAAATGCAGCAAACAGAGTCCAGAGGTAGATGTCGCCTAGCTGAGCCCAAGTGTCTCACAGAATATCAGGCTAGTGACCCTGCCTCTCTGAGCCCCAGTATCTTCATCCATTAAATAGGATTTTAATACTCCGTACTCCTCTAAGGGAGTGGGGAGGGAGGACTTGATGAGATAACACATATCAATATGTGTACATCATTTTTCTCAGTAAACGATAGCAGTATGACTAGTACCTTTGCAATAATGATGACACTTTTCTGGGGGGAATCCAGATTTTTTTGGGCAGGTAAATCCCCCAGTGCCTTCTTGTCTGCTTTCCCCCTAATAGCAGCCTCTGCCCCACTTTTAACACAATGTACGATGGTGGGTGGCAGGACCTGGGTGATAACCTCTTCACGTTACTTCATGGTCTAAGTGGAGAAACTGAGGTACGGGGGAAAGAGGTGTTGCCTCAGAGACACATATATTGAGTGGCCGTGTGAGCGCCACCACTCAGCTTTCCCTTCAATGTCAACACCTTATTCTTTTGTGTGTGTGTGTGTGTGTGGGTGCAATATGATTCCTCCTTTTATTTA